AAGGCCGCCCCTCTGCGCACTCTCTGTTTCCAGTCGCGGGGGGGGGGGGGGGATAGCTTTTCAAACTACTCCGTTTTTATTCAGAACTCACGTTCATTCTTGACCAGTTTATATGACCAAGCTCGGTTTTACGCCATTCCACTCGATCTCCGGTGCTTGTCCCGGTCAGTCCAGTTTATGCCCGAAGGCCACTCAGCGACTGGACTGTCAGGGTGGAGGGGAGCCTCAATTCTCCGGCATTATGCCATCGAAGAGGATACCCCTCAAAAGCCCCCTGGCCTGGAGCCTATCTCAAAGGCTCCGTGGGGGTGTCACTTGAGGTGGCACCCCTCCAGGCTGCTAGTGTGCGATTCGCCCTCCTCCGTTGTGAGGAGAGCGTCCGCCATCGCTGTTCCGTTGACCAGAAGTCAGAATACATACATTTTCATTAATAAATATGCAGGTGCTGGCCTTTAAACTTTGCAGTGAATCTTGTCCGCGCTCCGCAAATCAGAAAATGACTCTTTAAATTGGGCTCATGTTGAGACCTAGAATACAGTCTTAAGTATTTTTGCTATGGCACTTGTAAAAGGTAAAGGTAAAGGTTCCTTTGCTCGAAAGCCAGTCGAATCCGACTCTAGGGTTGCAGTGCTCATCTCCATTTCAAAGCCAAAGAGTCAGCGCTGTCTGAAGACATTTCCATGGTCATGTGGCCGGCATGACTAAACACCAAGGCACACAGAACGCTGTTACCTTCCCACTGAAGTGGTACCTATTTACCTACTTGCAATTTCTTGCTTTCGAACTGCTAGGTTGGCAGGAGCTGGAACTAGAGACGGGAGCTCATTCTGTCATGCAGCACACTCGGGTCTCAAACTGCTGAACTACCGACCTTCCACAGCCTGCAGTTCAGCGTCTTAACCACTTGAGCCACTGCAGCTCCTTATGGCACTTGTACTGCAGTCCTAAATCCATTCTTTGGCAGTTCTGTTCATTTTGCATAACTGGAATTAATTTTCTTTCATTGCACTGTTATTGTTCAACAGCTTGTTTGAAAGTTCTGCACACTCTGCAGCTTGCTCACAACAAGTTGCAAACGGTCGAAGACATACAGCACTTGCAGGAATGTCCAAGCATCAGCGTCCTTGACCTTTCTTACAACAAGCTAAATGATCCAGGGATTTTAAATGTCCTGGAGACCATGCCTGATTTGGTAAGCACAAAGTAACTCAGGAGACTATTTGTCTCAATCTACCATTTTTTAGGCATAGTGCGCCCTGTTCCTCTGCTGACAACACTGGTGGGAGGCTTATATTGCATCCATTGGCTAGAGATGATTGACATTACCTTGGCCCAGTACGCTATGATGCCATGAGAGAAAGTTCACAGTATTCTAGCAGATGACCAAGAAGCAGAACCCAAAATGGGGCTCTGCTAATAAGAATGGGCTTGATTCTCAATAACTTACCTGGGGGGCAAGAAGTGGATTTAGACCCTGTTCCACTACTGTCAGTGAATGCACCCTTTTTCTGTCTCCCATATGAGATTTCCATTTGCTTGTGTGTGTAAGAGTAAGCACTGAACTTTAACAGTGAAGGCAGAACCTGCCCTCCATCCCTGGCACTAGCTATTTGTGCTCATTGACAGGAATCCTGCGAAGGAGTACAACATGTCTCTGTGTTCAGAGTTCCCAAAAATAAAGCTGAGTTGTCAGGGTCATTTTCATGAACATTTTCATACCTACTGAAAATTACTTTATGTTTTTGGCCATTTTCAGAGGCATTCATAAGAGTGGGAAAAGGGTTGGTGATAAGGAAGGAGTGAATCCCTTTGGGAAGGAAACCAGTTAAGAACAGAGTATTCCTTCTGTCCAGTTCTCATGCTAAAGAAATCCATATCCAATGCCTTTAGAATGATAATTGGTTATTATTATCATCATGGAATAAAGCATATCAATCTTCTTATTAAAGTGATTTTAATCTCTTTAATAATCAGTGGATTAAAATTGCAGATTCGAAATTAGTCTCTGATTGATAAGAGGATGGAAATGACTGGTCAGGATATAGAAGTGCTTCTCCTCCCAGTGCCAAAGGAGTGTGCAAACCCTGAGGCCACAATTGTAGGCACACTTACTTGGGAGTAAGTCCCACTGAATGAAGCAGGATTTACTTCTAAGTAACGTACATAAAGATCATGCTGTTAACCATAAGTGGTAAATTGTCTGTTAAATTATAAATAATCTCCCAACTGAGAAATCATTGTCTTCCTTCAGGCTTCTCAAAGAGGCACCCCTCTTAGGTTTTGCAGTATTTTAGCATTATAACGTATTTGGGGGGGGGGCATGAGACTCGGGGAGGAATCCAATATCCCACCTCCATTGCTGAGCTGGCAAGTCTCCAGGCTCCATCACCATCACCTGACAGCTGGTGTCCACTGCCACTCCCGGGCTCCTTAGTGGCTGCTGGCATCCACTGCTGCTGTGCTGTGGTCCAGAGCAACAGCCAGCATCTGCTGCCTCCACATTCAAGCCCAAAGAGGCTGCCGGCATCCTCATCTTTTGATCCCAGGCCCTCAGCAGATGCCTCAGCGCCTGGGCTCACAGCGACTGTCGGCATTTTCCGCTTCAGCTGGGCCTGCTGTGGCTGTCATCACAGCAGCCAGCATCCTTCTTCAACACAGCGGCTGGCTGGTACAATTTCCTTAAGTGCATTGTCTGTGCATGCAGACAATTGTATTTTTGAAGAATTTAACCCTTTCCCCCCCATCTGTTCTATTTTGTTTTTAAGATTTTTCTGCAAACTTTCTTTAGCATCCATGTGGTCCTGATCCACAGATTTAGATATCCACAGATGGGGGCCACATGTGGCTAATAGTATATAGATGTCGCACTGTTGTAGAATACCATAGCATAAAAAAGACAAGTCTTTCCTCCAAGGATTTACACAATCAAAATTTCTAAATGCTTACTCTTCAGCAAAAATTACCACTCACTTGTACTTAATAGGTTTAATGTAAATTAGTCTTGTTAAAAAAAGCAATCAGTTGGTGTCCATAGCAACACCTCTTTGGATATGACTGAAAGTTCATTGAGAGCTGAACCCTGAGAAGAGTGGTATTTTATTAATTTATCCAAATAACTTTCATTCTGGGTTGGCTTTAGGTGCTGTCCAGAAATAATTTCTACTTTTAAAAACTTTTTTTTCCTCCTGCAGCGCGTGTTAAACTTGATGGGAAATGAAGTAATTAAGAAAATAGCTAATTATAGAAGGACGCTTACTATCCGATTGAAGCATCTGACGTATTTGGATGATAGGCCAGTTTCCCCAAGGGACAGGTAAAATGGAGGGGGGTATCCTTCCTTAGCAAGTCTGATAGAATAATTAAGTACTTCATCAGGACTGGGCTACCTCATCTGTGAAATGGTAATATTGGCTGCGGTCACACGCAACATTAGCCACGCAAGAGATACGGAAGACAAGCGGAGTTTCCGGTCGCGATCTCACCAGCACATCTGGGAAGCGTAGTGCTTCCGTGGCACAACTGAGGCTTCCTGCCGAAAAAGCGCAGCAAAAAACTAGTACCTTGGAGGTACTAGTTTCCAGAAACTGCGGGGCAAGGGCGGGCGTCTGATCGCGTTTCCGGTGGTATCCGGCGCCCGCCCATGTCCCCTTGCGGAAAAGGGGTTTTTTTCCCCCACGTCTCCGTGGATGCGCACACGCACCCAACGGAGCATGCGCATTCGTAGTGTACACAAAAAAAGAAAACCAGTTCGCCGCGCCGCGCGCTTCTTCATTGCGCGCAGGCGTGTGTTGTGATCGGCACCTCTCCCTTGCCATGGAACCTCCACAGTACCTCCACAGAACCTCCACAGTAGGTCTGATCGCTTTACTGCATGTTAGTTTGCCCCGGGGCAAACAGCCACACTTCTCCTCTGCAGTTTCCTGCCCGTGTGGCAGGGGCCATAAACTATCTTCCTCACAGAATTGTTATAAGAATTAAAAAAGAAGTCCTTTAAAGCAGTTATAAACTGAAACCCTAATTCTAAACAAATAAGGCAAGTTCCTCTAAGTGGCAACCCTAATACCGTTACCTCAGGAACGTAACTTGGACTAGCCTCAGACAGAGATATTGTTTCTCCAGAGGTTGTGAACCCATGACCACCTCAGATCCCACAGTGATGGTGGCATTTTTATGTGGGTGGACTAATGAAAGCAAAGAGTCCTTCTCTGCACATGGTCAGACCATAAGCTCTTCACTGGCCCTACTCTGTCCTCCCTTGTAGGAGCTTTCAGATGCTCCTACACACAATCAGTGGAACATGCTTTGAGATGGCTGATGGAACTCTTGCTTGTTCCCACCAGGGCCTGTGCAGAAGCCTGGGCAAAGGGTGGCCGTGAAGCTGAGAAAAAAGAAAGGGAACTGTGGGAGGCCAAAGATCGAAAGAAGATCCAAGACAGCCTTGATGCGCTCAGCGCAATCCGTCGAAGAGCTGAAGAGAAGAAAAGGCAACTGGAAATGGAAAAAAGCGGTAAGACATCAACCAGCCACCAGGAAGGTTTGTGGTTAAGCTTCGGACCAAAGATTCTGTGCCATGAGACTACTTTGGAATGCAGCTAAATACAGAGATTTTGCAGGCAAAGTGATTTTATGATTAACATTTCTCTCCTGCCTTTGTCCAAAATCCAACGCAATTACAAATAAATTTTAAAAAGCATGAAAACAACTATCATAAAGTACTGTAAAACAGCACTGTTTATGTCAGTCCCTCCAAAATATCCTTTAACAGAGGAAATACTTTTGGAATGAAATCTATAATCAGGCAAATCTCCCAGTTCCACAGCAGAAAACCCCCACTGTAGCTGCTGAGCTAACCTTTGTAGGTGGCTGCACAGAGAAATCTGAGGCTGCAATCACACACTCAATAATCCACTTTCAATCCACTTTCCAACTGGATTTTTACTATGTGAACTGGCAAAATCCACTTGGAAAGTGCATTGAAAGTGGATTCTTGAGTGTGTGTGATCGCAGCTGAGTTTCTACAAGATCTAAGAATTTGAATAAGTTTATGGCAAAGTAGGACCTTAAGTAGTGTATAGTATTTTTAATGAAGTGTTTTAGTTTTATAGATCAAAATAAAAATAAAAAGGAGAATTCATATTTCAGCCATTTATATACATTACTGAGTCATCTGATTAAAGGGGCCCATAAAGATTCCAGTTGAAGCAAACACCTTTGTAAATAAGTAAGCTTTAAATTAACATATATTTCCATAACTTTCTCAATTGGATATTCAGAGCATTATTCTGTTTCCAATACCTTGCTAGAACAACCGTGGTCACAGAAATTAAGTAAAAGAGATCTACCAACAATCTCTTAGGGAACCTTGCAACATAATTTAATAAGGAAACTTCTGGCCTTAGAAGCACCACCATTTCACATCCAGATTCCAACTTTTAATGAACCTTTTCCCAAAGTTTGACCGTACAAAGGCATTGCTACCACATATGTGTAAAGCCAGTCATCGGTGAATTACAATACCGATAATGCCCAGTACAGCTAACATATATCATGGCTAACTTTTGGGGGGCTGTTAAAGCTGGTGAATCATCTTCATTATGTTTGTCTTAGGTGCTAATGGTAGAGGAAATAATGAGAGATGAGATTAAGACAAGACACCTCTTAATCCATCATAGTAATGCTCTTGCTCATTTCCCATTTGTTTCACTGTGACGTGCTCAGAAGAATGGGAGAATTGTGGTCTTTATTAGGGAAGAATGGGAATTTGCTGATTTCAGAGCCAAAATATCTTCAGCTGACTATGCCAAGTGTTTACATTGTAGGCAAAGGTGCCTCTGGTATCATCTTCAGTGTTCAGAAATAATTATTGTTTGGCTCCTTTTGTTTACCTCTCTTTTCATTGCATCTGGTGTCACTGAGGCCCAGTTTAATGGCAAGATCACCTTGAAATGACAATTGGCTACCAGCTGAAGAAATACAGGGATTTATATATGGCAGGATCTAGCTGGTAACCTATCTTTTGTTGTGGTGAGAACAGTCCACAGCTGGTCTGTTTAATGATTCCCTAGCCTCAGTCTTGGGAGAACCAACATTTCCTCATGACTTGTATTTTTCAGCGAGACAGCAGTGTTCAGAACAAGAATTAGTACATAAATTTATACTGCAGGGAAACTCACCAGTTTTTATGGTTATTGGGCTATTCCAGGGGAGATTCTGTCTTCAAGCAACAGCACTATGACAGAAAATACTATAGAGGCATCAGCTACGTCTGAAGAATTAGAAACAAAGGAGAAGATTGAGAAATTTGTAGAAGAAAGCATGAAAGCCCACGAGGAAGTTTTGGTTACAGCTGCTGACTTAAAAGACCAGGTGGATAGCGCCAAGAACATTAAACCATATAATACTCAGCAAGTGGTACAGGAAGCAAGTTTGGACTCCTACTCAAACACTGGACCTGTTGAAGAAGGTAATGGCATACTGCAGACAAACTGAAGAGCAGTAAGGAGAATAAGCAAACACTATCCTTATTTTGTTGGAACCAAAGGCAAAGCCGTAGATTTGTTTATTTAAAACA